GTATACAAAATCATCGTACACACACACACACAGAAGGAACATATTTACTATCATATGCATTTTAGAATTGTCCGATTCTCTACAAAAAATACCAATTATAAATATCTGAAAAAATATCGTGATCTAACACTAAAACCCAACTTCAAATTATACAAAACCTTGTAAGATTTTACAGTTCTTGAAAAAATTTCAAAACTATGCAGTTTATATCATTTATAATTACAAGATCTTATCAAAACCTTGTATGATTTTACCATCGAGTTTTGTAGCAAAACATAAACCGAAGACTTCTCAACTACAATCTCCTTAATCGTATTACAGGGCAAGGAAGTGGACAGAGTAACCAAGTCATGCAACGGCAAGCTAGTCAACAACCCATGCAGCGAATATATTGTGCCCAACAGCTAAAAAACGTCCTATTAGTGATTGTTCTCATGTTCTTGATCCAGCTTTTTCACATGTGAATTGTGTTGTATCCTTTTTAAGATAAGATGATCATTGCTACCATTCATGTTTAATGAATATTAATAAATAAAAATATTAAAGCATATTTGGTAATTGACAAATACGATTTTAAACTATTTAACTTTTTTGGCTAAAATATTTCTCCGAACTATTAAGGGAAATATTCAAAAAAGTACTATTTTCTGTGTGTTCACCAAAAAAATAAACAAGATAACTTTCCAAGATAAAAGAATAAATTTGATTTTAAAGAAGGTATTTTAAGAAAAATACCGATTCAGATAAATCAGTAATTTTGTATGAATTAACATCATTTCATATGTCAGTAAAGACTCGAACCAATTGTTTTTAAACTATAAATTGGATTTTTAAGCATCATCTGTAAGAATTTTTGGTCATTATCAGACTCACATTTTTATAAATTGCCTTCATATTTAATAGTATATGATACATATACTTGGTCATACTTTCATTTACGAATTTCATAATATTTTTTAATCGTATTTTCAAAGAAACTTTGAAACACAACACTCGTTAAATTATATATTTAAATCACTTGTAATATTACTTAATAATTTTCTTTATCACTGATAAACGATTTATTCGAGTATGTGTAGGGATAAATTACAATCCTATGAATAATGAAACAATAAAAGAATAAAATATGGTTGAAAGGTTTAGATCATTTCGTTTCGTTACTGCTACTATTACAACCATATTATTCTTTTTCCTTGCATGTCTTTTTGTTGTTAGTAACTACCATGATCCTATTTTGTGAGATGTCAGGTGGCGTGCGTAGTTGCGACTAGACGACGACAATTTCCAAGGCATGACTTGTGACGACAAATCTGTGTATCATATATATATATATATATATATATAATTATATAGACATATATACGTTTCAACTGCTACTTAATGAATCAACTATATTAAACAATTTAAATTAAACTATAAAATAAAAAGATAATAAAAATTAATATTGTATTATAAAAACGCGGATTAAACCATGGCGTGTCACATAATGTGGCATAAGACAAGCGTCATGACTAATGATGGATGCATTGGCAAGTATTTTTTTAGTTTTCACCAAAACATGGACCTTTGTGTGATGGTGGGCCAGGAGTATAATTTATTAGGTTCGGTCCAAATTTAAAAACCTTGTAATTATCTCCTTTATGTATAGAAATTTTCCTCCGTTCTCATTAAAACCTCATAAACCCCAACTCAAATCCTAGAAGAGGGGCTTGACGAATCCAATTGCTTCTAGTTGCAGGAGTTCCATCGTAGGAGTGTCGACAGTCACAACCATCGCGTTAATCAATGGCTCGATTTATCTCCAATACTGAACTTCCCTCATCGTTCCTAGTTGATCAATGCCATATAACAGGTAGGTGATTTCATATTAAGAATATTTTTTAATATGATTTCCCATTTACTTTGTTTCTATGTTTTGCGATTGTAGTCCAAGCGTTAGGTTTCTTATTTGATTATACTTTTTGGAATAGTTTGTACTAGAGTGGATACGTAGCTGTACTGCAGGACGGTGGCGCGTCGGGAATGATGAAGGGGAGTGGTGTTATAATTATGAAGAAAGAAGGTGAAGAATCAATGAAATCCACTCGTTGAGTTATTGATCCCTTAATTGGTTACTACAAGCGATAAGGCTAAAGAAACAAGTTGATCCAACAGAGCTTTTTCAGCTGTTTTTAAGCAAAAAACCGTCAAAACTAAACATTTCTTTGATCCAAAATTGGTTTATCGTCAAAATGTTCAATTATATCATTTTAACATACGAAATATAATTGCATGAATATGATATATAAGATTCAGAAGTATAAAATTGATTATATTTATTCTTAATGGATTGTTTTCATTGTCTTATTTTGTAGTTTTTTCATTTGTCTGTTGTAATACCAACTTTTAACTCGTAACATTGGTTACGGGTTTGAATCCTCTTACGACCACTAAAAGTTTTTCTGATTGTTAACTGCTAGATTATCAAGACGACCTAGATTGAAAACCTATTTGTTGTATCATTTATCTTATAATGTTTTTCTTGAATTTTAATCCGTTGATTTTTGCTCATAATTTTAACTACAAACTCATCTTATATCTACATATAATAATTATATATGAACTTTACGATCTTCCACGCTTTCATACCTCGGGCTTGATCCAGATTGGCATAACCACGCCATTGCAATTCAATCCGCAACCACATTGTGCAAAACCTCGAAATCCTGAATCGGTGGGAAATTTAAGAAAACAATTCCAACGGAAAATCCCATTTTGAAGAACCGTCGACTAGTATTGTCTTTAAAACTTCTTAAATTTTAATTAAGTATAAATTATTAATGCATTACAAAATCTTTTAACGTTTTATAAATATCTCCGTTTTACTGATTTCTAAATGTCAATGATCGAGTCTAAAAAAATATCATTAAAGCGATTAAATTTAAAAAATTAAATTTTCAATTTTCAATTAAATTTTACATTATAATACAAGAATATTTATAGTAAAAATAAAAATTCAACGGTTGAACAAAATACATCAAGTGACTATGATACTATGATAGGAGTTGTGACCGTATGAGGCTTAAAGCACGGCTCATATTTATTTAAAGGCCCATCAAAAATAAGCCACAGCAGGCCTATGGCATTTGTAGCCCACTTAATTGCACATATCCTAGATCTTTATTGATTTTTCATTAAGTTATGTATAGATAAAACTGTTTGTATAAATTAATCTGTCTGTATATATTGAAAAATTTATTGGGAAGAGTTTTTTCATTGATGGAGGAATGTGTTTTTTAATTGGGAATGACAAGTTTGGAAAAAAAAACTTGACTTTCTGTATTAAGCCCCCCTCTTTAAAATGTTACTGAACAAGACACTTTTTATATCATTAAGTCACTATCAAACAACCATTTATAGTTGATCAAATAAAGTGTGAATCTCATTAAGCTTATTAAACTCGTAACTTATAAAAATTGGTTACATATATTCTTTTAATAAAAAAAAAAGAAACCGGCTAGGAGGGATTTTAAGTAAAAAAACCTAATTAAACTTTACCTTTTGGCAAACCATACGTCATTCAAATCCCTCGTTGTCTCATCATTATCCGCTCCCTATCACCGTCGTTGGCCTCTGCCGTCCATCTCCCTCTTTTTTCAATTCTCCATATTCTCTTATATATCTATACATACTCCATTAAATTATTGTAAAAAATGGATAATCTAAAGAAAAAACGGATCAAAGAGAGGGAGATTGAGGATAAGGGTTAACAACGGTGATAGGTGGTATAAAGAATGGACAACGCCGCGATGACAAGGAGTGGCATGGAGAGCGATGTCATTTTGTGCGAAGGGTTTGAGTGGCGTTGGATTTACGAACAATATAATTGATTTATATACTTTTTACTTCAAAAAATTCATAGTTAGCTACATGTAACTTTTTATTTATTAAATGGATAGAGATAATCAAATTTAAAGTTTGATGATTTATTTATACTATATTATAAAGCATTTGACAAAACTTTTAAAATTCATCTTTTATGTACAAAAAATTGTTTATTGATGTATATTACTTAAAATTCAAGATTACAAGTAGATTGTGCATAAATACAACTTATTAAAGCTTCATATTTGAATTTGTGTAACTAATTGTGGATAAACACAATTAAATACATGATAAACATCTCATTTTAAATATAAAAATTCTAAAATATAATTAGGATAAGTATGGAGTTATAATAGAATACTTAATTATTATTTTTATAAAAAAATAGGTTCTTAACCAAAAATAAAAAACTTCGTTAATAAACTTAAATTAAATTATAATAAAAAATTGAATTAAAGAAATTACAGAAAAAAAACCATAACTTCTAAATAATTAATTTGATAATAATATTGATATATATTTTTAAATGATATCTTCAAATTTGTATTTTATGCAAAAATAAAAACAATGTCGCTTTCTTAAACCACATAACATTGTATTATAACATAGATAGAGACAAATAATAAAACGAAACATTAAAATCGAGATGTATCTCATTGCATTGTATAAGTACTCTTCTATTTTATTCAAAAAATATTCAAAGACATAACCTTTAAAAAAGAAAGTTTAATACGTTTTTATTGAAAAAAAAAAAGGTTAGAGACTTCATCATTCTAAGTAGAAATATTCTGAATTTTTTCCTTATTAATTTGGTAATTTTAGTACCACAAATATATGGACCAAATATGGGCTTCACATACACTAGGAATAAATGGGCCAAATATGGGCTTCACATACACTAGGAATAAATGGGCCAAATATGGGCTTCACATACACTAGGAATAAATGGGCCAAATATGGGCTTCAGCCGTCCAACAGGGATGTGTCATATTTACATACACTAACAGGTTCTCAAGTTGTGATCATAAACCCTAGTTTCACCATCCCTTCCACTGCACACGCCTGTTCTGGTGCTACTGCTATAAGTATATGTCATTACACCCTCTTGTTCTTCGAACCATGGCTATATGAGCTACTTTTTTTTTGCTTATTTATTGGTTGTTACAGAATTTGTAAGTGTTTATAGTGTTGTGAATCTGGTGATCGATGATGTTTTTGAAGAAACTGCGTTATCTATCTGTAAATTCCTTGACGGAAACTGATGATAATATGATCTTCCTGAGATCTGATTTCTGATCTATAACGAATCCAGCACACAGTAAGCTGATTACTCGTTTGCTACCCAAGTTCAGTAGTGTATGCTTGTTATTATTGATTTTTAATGGTTTTATGATTCTGTTTTCTTGATAAACATGAAATTGATGGTGTGGTATTGGATTTAGCATCGATGATGATACTTTTAACTTCGTTATCCTTGCACTTTGATTCATAATGAAGAGAACCATGGGGAAAGTAATTCTGAGATGCTCAATCCTTTTTCCGTTTCCATTTTCACAAACTTATGAAAATCGTTTTTTTTTAAGTTAATTTGTATAAAGTTCAAATCTCCTTGAATTGTTTAGTATTAGGGTTCTTAATCCTCATGGTGCTTCCGCTATAAGCATACGGTGTAATGTCATTCTAAAACTGAAATTGTTCTTTTCCTTAAGATATCATGCAGATATGAGTTACATTTTTTTGTTTCCTTTTAGTTTATTACGGAATTGAAACGGCGGATCGATGATGTATTTGAAGAAACTGCGTTATCTATCTGCAATTTCCTGACCGGAAACTGATGATAATATTATCTTCCTGAGATCCGATTTCAAATTAATTCCGAATCCGGCTAACGGTAAGCTGATAGCCGTTTGATTACTTGAGTAACATCCATTACAGTTGTGTGATGTGGTGATGGTACTTTCAACTTTGTTATCCTTGCACTTCGATTCATAACGAAGAAAACCATGGGGTAAGGAATTCTGAGATGCCTCATTCCCGTTTCATTTTTTCCCCCAGTCATTAATTCAAACAAAAATTTCTGTAAATTGTTTTTTTATATGATTTTGAATTGCAACTACTGGTTTATATCTCCTAAACCTTGATCTACACTATTTGTTCCATTTTTTTAAATGAAAAGTGAGGGTTGTTCTGGTTTCTTATCTTTCATTCTCCAGTATCTGTTGCTTGCTTAATGGATTACCAAAACAACAGGCTGGGAATAACACCATACTGATTAAGATTACTAGGTTTCTTCAAAACCACATTTTGTTCTTCCAAAATCATCTTTCATCAAATGAAATTTTTTTCCGCTAGCACCAAGCCTTCAAAGATTAACAGCTGTCTTTTGGTTTGAGCTTTGAGTTCTTGAGTTCAAAAGTGTCTGGAGGTCTCGGTTTCAATTCCAAGTAGGGATAAAACCTCTCTCAGTTTCAATTCCAAGTAGGGATAAAACCTCTCTCAGTTTCAATTCCAAGTAGGGATAAAACCTCTTGTGGCCATGGAGCTTGAGTTCAAAAGTGTCTGGAGGTCTCAGTTTCAATTCCAAGTAGGGATAAAACCTCTTGTGGCCGTGGAGGTTTAAATGCATCACTCCGAGCTACTCGTGCTATAAGTGGTCGTTTTGGGATTAGTCGGTTTGAATAGTGGTTTGGATATCTATGTTAATTTAAAAGATTTGTGATGGTCAGCTACGCTATAATTTGTTTGTTTTTGTTTAGAATTATTATCAATCAGAATAATACTTTTACGACTACATACATATCTATTAACAACTATAGTTTTGCTTTTTGGTTGCCAGTAAAATTGAGATGTTGGATATTATTGGTTGCTAGTAATTCTACTAATCAGTGTAGTTGTAGTAAGATACTGTTTAAATAATACAAAGTACTCGATTCTCTCGTAAAGCCAGATTTTCTTTTTAGATTAAAACTGGTCTGATACTAGACCTAAAATTTGTTTGTTTGTAGAACTGAATTTATGCTAAAATCTTAGAAATGATGAAATAATTCGAATAGACATGGCTTGCTTTGCCAACTTGATGATCAAGGAATGAATTTTGTAACAAGACTGATATAAAGGCAAAAATAGTAAAAAAAGGTTCAGCCGTTCGGCTATCTAAAACTGACTGGATGAGTCATCCAAAAGAACCAACATCGATGTTTAATAATGGCCTATGTAAGAGAACAACCTTTTTTCCATTTGATCGTAAGCAGGAAAATGACTTCATACGAAAACGTTACATTTTCTCTATTAACTACTAGTTTTTGTTTGGAAATATTCTTTCATAAAAGGGAAGATACATGTTTTTGATTGGAAGTGACGATTTAGAAATTTTTTGGTCCTGTATAATTTTCAAAAATGACCCAAAAATGTTTTCAAACGGTGGCACTATTTGACTATAAAAAAAAAACAATTATGAAAAACATTTGATTATAAGAAACAAATATACGATTATTTTTTTACAATTGGTGACATCATTCTGACTAAAAAAATAACACTAACACAATTCGAACTTAGATCTAGTGTGGAATAAAAGCCTTGTAAACTAACTTTACCAAATAAAACTTATTCTCATTGTAGTTTTAAAATATACACGATGACACACAAAAGATTAATACAGTTGCACCTTTCAGAACCTAAATTTTTTTACCCTTCGATGAAGGAATAATATGATGGCACGTGCCACCCAAACCACCAAAGTAGGTCCGTCCCGGCTAATCAGCCCTTATTAATGCTAACTCGATACAAATTGAAACCATCAAACTATCTTGAAACTCTAAAGTAGCTTGCAGCATTTTGATGTGAATTTTGGTGTTCGCAACATTAAATGTTCTTTAAAGATAAGATTGAAATACCTTAAATTTTGTTAAACCCTTGTAAAAATTTTCAAGTAACTTTGAATTGCTACAACTAAGGAAAAGCAAAAAGGTTACTATTCTAACTTGATAAAGTAAATTTACTACAAAATCAAGTAATTTTACACTTACCAAAGGAAAAGGAGAATTACTTCTTAGCATAGGTGATGTACATAGGGCTATCGGGATTGATCTTAAATCCTTGGAGGCTATGCATCGCAACCGTCGCCTGCATGTCGTCTCCGTACTCGATAAATGCAATCCCCGGTTTCGCTTCCACCATTCTTACTTCCTTGAATCCTTGGTATTGCCTGAACAACATTTGCAACATCATTGATGATGTTTGATGAGGGAGATTTTGGATGAACAATATGTTGTTTGGTGGGGCCGGTGCCTCCGCAATCCCAGATTTACCACCTCCTCCCATGTACGACGACGGTATTTGTGATAACTGCATCAAAAACAAGCTTTTAACGCTCGAATTTTGTGTGTAATATAATCCAATTTTGTTAAGCGAGAGGAGCTTACACTCGAACATAGAAAAAAAATATTCGAGCACAAGCTTGAGCACCAGACCTACATAGATCCATATGGTGGCATGGCCACAACTTCATGGTCCCTAATTACATTTTTGAAGGATGCCACCGTTAGTTTCTGAAACTAAAATTTTGGCATAAGTCTAATGGCTGAGTTGGTAAATGTTGCTCACTTTGTAGGAAAACTCCGGGTTTGAGTTCCACCAATATCAATTTTTTTAGTTTTGAGCTTGAATTCTGGTGTTTTTTACATGTTTCAGAAAAAAAATATATAGCCTTGACTGAAACATGGGTCCCTAAATACTTCAACATGATTATTTTTATAGTCAAGTTGTGCCACCACCTGAAAGTATTTTATAGTTTGCCTCCGTTGCGCATTACTTATAAAAAAGTTATGCGAGCTCGAGTTGATATTATTTTCTTGAGTCAAACTCGAACAACTTGCCAGGCTGCTACTCGCTCGAATCGGTTTGTTAACACTCCCTAGGCCAAACGGTGCCCGAATTACCGGCATAGATCAGCCTCCCAGGAGGTCGAGGGTTCAAATCTCACTAAATGTGTGAGTGTTTATTATATATTTTAAACAGAATGCTTACCGGAGGAGCAGCACCATATGCACCAGCATAAGTAGGATTTACACCAACCGCTGCTTGATTAGCATCATGTTGCCCCTTGCGTTTCTTCCCTATTGCATCACAAAAATATTGCATAATCAGCGATATGAACAATCTAATTAGGGTTTAGGATGACTGATTGACGGTGTTTAGCCAAGGATATTTTGGTCACTGAATGGAAGTATTCATTTGTTCCACATAAGATCGAATATCCTACTTGTACTTTTTTTTTACAATTTATTCGATATTATGAATACTTTTCTGGGATAGAGATTATTCGCCTTGTCTAATAGCCAAATGGTGCTCTTTAACAATGTAAATAAGACCGATAATCTCTAGCCTTAAATTGTGGTGGGATCAGCATAACTAAAATTTGCTACAATAAGACCACACAAAATACCTAAAAGACAAATGTGTTACCTTTGTCGTCATGCCTCTTTCGTCTTTCTCGGGGTACGAAAGTTCCATCTGCTTTTGCTATGATATCTGATTTCGTTTTAGCATATTGTATTCTCTGTCATCAGTAGAACGGAATAATATTAATATAGATCAAAGGAAAACGCAAGTATATCATGTAGCAATTCAGAACCATTGTTTGCTTACATAAACGGATAAAATCACTTTTCTTGTAAAAAACTAGTCCAGTATAATCCCACCCAAAGGCGGGAACTTAGGGGTATGATGTAAGCAAACATGACCTCAACCCCAAAAAGGTATGCGTGAAAGAGAGAAAGTTAGCCCAAAAGGTTTGAAAAGCTAGTTATGAATAAACAACAACATACAAACAGAATCAGGTACATAGAAAACAAGCCCACTATATGTATATCCCACCCGAACTCAAATATGGGGGTATGATGTACACGGACCTGACCCCTACCCGTCTACCCCAAAGGGTAAAGTTGCTGCTATCGTGAAGACCCCCACTTGTGAAAAGTGTGAGAAGGAAAAAGGACTTTGAGGCAAAAAGGCCAGATATGATAGATTTTAGTTATGAATAAAGTCAAACAATAACATATAAAAAAATTAAAAACAGGTACAAGAAAACATAGTTATGGAAAGGAAACTGCACACCCCTAATCTAATCTCCTAGCTATATATAACCAGCATTCCCCTAGTCTATCAAAAAAATCCAGGTCACTTATCTTGTGCATTGTAAAATTAAAATGAGAAAAACTTGTGTCCTTATAACAATGTCAGATATCATGTTTCTTGAATTCTTGAAGATTCGTATAAGATCCGAAAGTGCCAATATAAGGTCATATAATGATCTCGACCAACCCTCCATCGCTCATTCCTATGCTCACATACTGCAGGATCAAGGTCTACCTCCATCTCAAAGAACATGGCAATTGGTTGGCGTCGTGTTTAAGTTGCTTTTTGTGTGATAATTGATTGGACAAATACTACCATATGTCTTGTAATCTAGTTTCAACTTTTTTCCAACATCACCCTTGAGCAAATATGTGAGGAGGCAGGTAAGAAGCATTGAGTAACTTTTTCAGGCACATCCAAATAACTGTCAAAGAAAGTAGAAACTGCAGGTATAATTGTAGATCTTCTGAAAGGTATGCCTCTCTAAGCAGCAAATTAAAATAAATAAAAGACACCACCCTTCAGCATCTGGCGATAAGTTCCCAAAGATTACAAAACAGTTGCATTGTTTTGATGAGAAAGGTGGAGCAGTATTTCCTACGTTGAACCTGATAAGATTGGGAGGCCATTTAACTGATATCAATGTTCATGCAAAAAAAGACTCCATATATTCGCTAGTATATGAGACCAGTGAATACATGGTACTCTGGTAGGTTGATTAATAAAACTCTTTCTTTAATCAAGATTAAAGGCTTAGCCGCCTGACTCACTCTGGATAGAAAGGTTGGAGCTCCGAAGGTTCCTCTCTTCACTCTCCTCGGATGCTGCAATCAAACTAAAGCGCACACTGGAAAAGAAACTACAGAACCCACCAACGCCCATGAAAACCCGGGTTGGTCGGTCCTCCGGTTATCTATTGTTCTGAAGTCCTATACTTATCACAACTTGGTATCGGTTGCATTTTATCAATGAGTAACATTGGAAGGAAACTGAAAAGCTAAAGACATGGGATCATGATGAATGAATTAGCTTAAAACCATGAACAATGTGCTTTCAAGCACATTTCCAAGTCATTTTCTAGCAATCTGATCATTACTTCCAATTGATTTATGATTCCCAAATTCCCCTTGCTATTGTAGGAAAAGGAGCATGAGAATCAGGGAATCTTTGAGATATGAAAGCTCACCAACAAGTAGCAAACATCACCCAACAAAGATTGACTGTCCTTGTGGTGATTTGAGGATCAGTGCCAAATTAAAAAGCTTGCTATGTAGGTATCTACACCAATATTGGACCGACTCTCTAATGTACCTCCAGTCCAATTAAACGTGTTTCCATAATCTTCTTATGTCTGAAGAAATGATTCATCGAAATAACGGGAGGCTCGTGGGATTGACATTAAGGGGAACTGTTGGCACTAAAAATAAAGAAGATTTGACTCAGCGTCTTCTATTCGATACGGGTAGGAGAAGAAAAGTAAAAAATTAATAAACATATATATATATATATATATATACCCTATATAGAGGAGCGATCAAATGAAAACCACTCCAATTTGTAAAAACCGTAAAAACTACTCTCATTCGTCGATTTCATTATTTAATCTTATGAAATTTTTTCATGAAATTGTTTAATCTTGTGAAATTGTTTCATATAATATTTTTTTTTGATAAAGTTGTTTCATATATGGTTATGAAATTGTTTCATATACTACTTAATGAAACTGTTTCATGTATTTTTCTAAAATTAATGAAACTGTTTCATGTATTTCTCTAAAATTAATGAAACTGTTTCATGTATTTCTCTAAAATTAAAATAATGAAGATGATAATATCCATGATTAACATCATTCACAATAAAAATGATTAATCAACCTCTCATAATTACAAAAAAATTAACAAAATGAAAAATTATGATTAGTTGAATGAAGTTTGTACGGTTTGTACAAATTAGGTGGTTTTTATTTGAACGCTCCCCTATATATATATATATATATATAGGGGCCTAATCAAATGAGAACTAATTAGTTTGTGGTAACTGTGAGAACCAATATTAACCACAAATCAATAGATAAATTAGGAATTTTATAATTTTGGCAATTTTGAATTAAAATATTAATGCAAGGATATTTTTGGTATTTTAAAACTTTCCTCCCTCCTCTCTTCTCTCTCCGGCCATCGGCCACCGTCCTCCGGTGATACTACAATGGTATCACAATGCATCATATATGTGCTTGGGTATCACATTGATGTCGTTTGTGTGGTCGATCGAAGATGTAACACAGTGGTATCACTATGCATCTTATATATGATTAGGTATCACAATGTATCTTATATATGATTAGGTATCACAATGTATCTTTTGTTAACAGGGTATCACAATGATATCATAGTGGTATCACCGGAGGCCGGAGAGAGAAGAGAGGAGAGTTTTAAAATACCAAAAATATCCTTGCATTAAGATTTTAATTTAAAATTACCAAATTTATAAATTTCCTAATTTATCTATTGATTTGTGGTTAATATTGGTTCTCACAGTTACCACAAACAACTCAGTTCTCCTTTGAATAGGCCGCTATATATATATATATATATATATATATATATATATATATTGAGAGAGAGAGACATTAAAAAAATAATGAATTTAAAAAATTGTGTTATTTGGCTAGGTGCCACCTTTTGAAGTCAATAAATCATTTTCACGTAATGAATACTTTCCTGAGTTAAATAAAATAACTCTTTAAGTAAGAACATGAGCTCGAAGACATCTAAGATAAGAGATGTGCAATGGTACACTACAAGGCCGACCAACTCTAGTTGGCAACTATATGTCTATCTGTATCTACCCTTTTGTAACAAGCACTCATCAGATATTTCTCAAAACACCAGTCTCATTGTTACGAATTAGACTTAAAATTGATTCAAACTCTAGTATTCTCCCGAAAGAGAAACAGCTGAAGAGCGCTTGATGCCAGAGACTAGAGACTAGATTAAGACAGACATGTTGTTGTTGTATATATAGTCCTCATAGTAAGATTCATAGGGAGCTTTTGTCCCACATATAAAGAATAGATGAATCTTGCATGTATTCGTGAGCTATATATATTAACTTTAGGCATGTCACTCTTCTCGGATTGAAAGAGTGATAAACTCTTCCTTAGTTTATAACCTTAAAGGACTTATATAGTTGTTTAAGAGATCAAGTGAGCTAAGGAGGATTTGGCCTTGTGTGAATTTTACACATATATTAAACGGTCAAAAGAGAGCATTAGCACTTTGTGCGTCTGCGATTTCCCAAAAATCATATTTTTTACGTCCGGCAACAGAGACTGACGTGAGTCCCGCGCGCCTTAGGTCGCTGGAAAACTAGCCCGGCTTTCTGGAATTGATTCATGGAGCCAGTGACTAAAGCGAGTTTCTTAATCCACCAGAAAAGTCACCTAAGTCCCTGTTTGGCGAGTTTATGACTGTTTTTGACAGATTTTTTCAAGTTTTTCTGATTTGGATGAAGTCAAAAGTTAGTTCCTCTTATCCACAATCAGTTGCATACAAAAACCTATATATATGTGTAATCATTTCATCATTTGTACACTCATAATCCTCTTCCTTTTCTTCATTGAAATTCTGCAGAGAATGTTCATAAGGAGATATGTTTTGTTTTTGAACATATCTTCATGATTAGATAATTCCTGGGGATGTATTAGCCTTTAACCCAAATAACCTTGATAGTGGGGGCTAATAATATCCCAAGGATAGTGATCCTTCACGTTCTATTACCCTACTTTCTAACAGTTGTTCCCAACCAGAGTTGATCGGCCTTGCTGTGTACAATTGCACATCTCTTCTCTTATATGTCATCGAACCCATATCGTCGCAAATGTTTGATTATCTGTGGTTCAATTGGATTGGATTACAATAGAAAGTCTATCCAATATCTATGTAGCTAACACAGAAGTAAAAGAATGCAGGAGGCGAACAAGTCCCAATAAAAGGCGTGTTTCCACATCACAAATTCAGTATGGTTTTTAGCTGAAGCATAGGCGTTAAGCACTAAGAATAAAACTGAATTCAACATACCATTGGTTTGTCGTAAAATGGAAAACCCTGCATCTGCTTCAGAGCACTGGTGGCAGACGAAATGTCCTCAAAAACAACCCATGCCTGACCCTTGTGTTTCAGGGTTTTAAACGCAAGTATCTCGATGATTTCACCAAATTGCGAGAACACCGCTTGCAGCGATTTCTTCAATTCTGGAAAGATAATTGCTCATATTTAGGCCATAAAACACAACTCTAAGTCTATAAAGCATGCATATATACTTAATTTACAATCATAAATAGAGAAAAGGGTTTTAGACGAGTGTCAATTACGGCAAACGATTATTCACGAGTCACTGTATATATAAAATGAAGAAGGAATACCGTCGAGCTTGGTTTTCTCGTTGAGATTATTGATGTAAATGGTATTATTCGGTGGAACGTCGCTGCCGACCGCCATCTCCGCCATCTTTCTCGATAGTTCCTATAGAATTCGGTTAGTGTAGAGTAAAGACTGAAGAAGACGTTTCTTCCCCTTCCAACCCAACGTAACTAAGACATGTCCAAATTGGCCAAACCGGACCGACCAGGTTCGATTGGGATCGGGACCGATCTTAGTCGGCTACGAATTTTATAAATTTTCATAGCTGGGACCCGTCGAGATTGGTCATACATAGACATAGGTCTCATTGTTTTAAATGTAGATTATATTTCAAGTTTTCCAAATTCCAATATTTTTATTAGATTTTTTAAAAAATATTAAATTTTTTTTTTCGACCTTCTTTTAAGTTTTTGTAAGTTTTTTAATATTAAAACTTAAAAATCGAAACTATAAAAACATTTATAATATTATTGTATAAAGCTATGTTAAAAATATTTTTAAAGTATATTTGACTGATCTAAATATAAATTTTAAACGGTATGTAAATAAGATGTCAAAAAAATAAAAAATTCAAACACTATTCTTTTTGCATTAATTGAGTTCTGGGGAAAAAAAGAAAAAAAAATTGGAACCAATTTACTAATCGATTATGAATAATCTTAACCGGACCTTGGGTTTTGGATTGAGATTGAGACTCGTTTTTTAACCATAGGAACGATAATAAGGCCCAAACATGAACATTTAATAGTACCTTTGGGCCATTTCTATTGGGCCAATATTGTATTTTAAGTAAGGGGTCGATTACTAAATGTTTACTTAAACGTTTACCAAGTAACATTATCTCATCGGATGAATGTAGTAAGGATCAAGAATCTTACCCAGTAAGAACGAGACATGGATCAAGAGTCTTACCCGATAAGCGAGGGCGACGACTCTTACCAAGGTAAACGCTTACCGGGTAAATTATTGTATACTATGTCGTTTTGGTGGACTAAAATCTTACCCGGTAAGTACATAATAGTGTTAAATTTTACCCGTAAACACTTACCGGATAAGTGTTTGAAAAACGACCCCTAAATATAGTTTACCAAACGCTTACTAAATAGGTGTTTATCTAATCAATTACCTTATCAGATGAATATAAAAAATAACGAGAATCTTACTCAATGTAAGCAATGACAAGGACCGAGAGTCTTATCCGGTAAGTGAAGTTGACGACTTTTACTCTATTAACGCTTATTGGGTAAATTGTTGTGTACAATGTCGTTTTTATAGACTAATATTTTACCAGATAAAGTAAATAATATCTTAATGGTCTTTGATCAGTAGGTGATTAGTTTTTTTATTTAACCAATGACTACTTTCTCGCACTTTATCTAGAGCTTTTAACCGATTAATGACTACTCATTCGAAATTTAGGATCATATTATATAAATTTTTAAATGAGTTATAAGAAAAAGTTAATTATATTCATACTTTGTCTATAGGAATGATATGTCGTGAGTAGAAGCTGTGAAATTTGAATGATGCAAGTAACCATGGGGTATGAAATGTGGGTTGTGTAACGAGTGTGTGGGTATAAGAACGAACCTATAAAGCTCCAAACAACATCTCGTGTCTCCATTCGACTTAATTTCGCAAGCACATTTTTTTGTAGTACGAAAAGTGCATCTTTTAACTCCGACATGTTTACAAGAATAATCAACCAAAAAATCTGGGGAAAAAAAGTCCATCGAAGTCAACAAAAAAAATAAAATATCTTGAAATCAACTAAAAAACTTAAATAATCCCTTAAAACAATAGAATTCAGCTAAAGACACATGAGACAACTTTGCAGTTTTTTTTGTATCAACTTAAAAAAATGCATCCGTTCGACAAAAGTTTTGAATCGGCTGCCATGGTGGCATAAGTATAAATCTTTAACAGCCTCTAACACGTGGCTCAGTTAGCAAAGATATTGGGGTAACTCTGTCCACATACAGAGTTTTCTGCTAACCTTAAGTGCTGATGTCCTTTAAGACAGGTTTTCATATAAACCAACTGGAATTACCGGTAATTGATCCTTAACAAGATTAATATGTGAACCTAACACTTTACGCACGAAGCCAACGACCCACATGAATTCTCCCCCGTGTGAAGCAATCCCGCCCCCACCAAACGTTTCTTGCCGATTCTCGACACCAGCGTTCTTTTTTGGTGTTGGTGATGTTTTTTATTCTTGTCGTCTCTTGTTTTCAATCATTGCATTAAGACATTACTTTTATTTTATTTTTATTATTCCTTCCAAAATAAAAAACTCGTCATAATACCACGTGGTGTCGTCTCAATGTGTTTTTTCCCGTTCGTGCCGGTCGATCTCCAACCATAATCTAATACGACGCTCCTATAGGCAATCAAAACAGCAACATTGTCCATCCAACGTTGATCACAATCATCCATAGATCTCAATTACTAAGCGTTGACTTATTTATTTGACCTTGGGATAAAGTCAAGAGCTTAATTTTTTATATGACCCACAATTTGGTCGGCTATAAAAAGACAATTCGATAATGATATAAAAAATGTCTTATTCAATAAGTTTATAAATAAAGATCTTTACAGAAAGCTAAGTTTTTTTTTTATAGTCTTATTTTTTTTAATTAAAAAACATGTTCCATTTATTTATTGAAAATTTTATTTTAAAATAGAAATTTCTCAATCGATATAAACACATTAATTCATAGTCATACATACAATATTGGTAACGAGAAAACGTCTTAATGATGGATTGTTTGTGATGGTGGGCCAGGAGTCGTATCATGAACCGCAACACACTCGATCCAGCCCAATTAAAAAAAACCCTATTTCCCTCCTTTATATGTCGTTCTCCTTCCGTTTTCAACTAGATTTGGAGAAGAGAGGCCTCAACGAATTATATTGCTTGCAGCTGCAGAAGATTCTTCTGAAAAGTTGCAGCGATCAAGTTCATCAATGGCTCGCTCTATCTCCAACGCAAAGCTCGTCTCGTCTTTCATAGTTGATCAATGTTCTGTTGTTGCCCGGTGATTACACCTTCGAAAATTTTGATAATATTTGAATTTGTATTTAGTTTCTTTCTATGGATTTTCGGTTTTTTTCTATCATTTTATTTTTCTTCTGATGTTTTGTGTTTGAATTGGTTTGTACAGGCGTGGATACGCAGCGGCATCGCAGGGTGGCGTATCGGAAAACGTGAGGAGCAGTGGGATTGGAATGATGAAGAAAGTAGGTGAAGAATCGACGAGATCGACTCCGTGGGTTCCTGATCCGGTAACTGGTTACTACAAGCCAGAAGGCCATGTGAACCAAGTTGATGCAGCTGAACTCCGTGAGTTGCTTTTGAAGAAGAAAACTCGTGGAAACTAAAAGCTTCGCTGATCCAGAAATCAAAATCGGTTTCATATACACAACATACTGATGTTGTTTATCATGGAAGATCAAAGCAGATCAGATCGTGATATTATTGACGAGTTGCTATACGATTCTTCATCTCTCTATCTTAATATAGCTATTACAATTCATGTGTACCAATAAAACTTGCATCAGTAGTAAACGTTATTGCTTTCTAATTATCATAGCATCGATTCATGGGTCGCAATATTTAATAAGCAATCTCAAACACTCTTATAAATCAATAATACGGAAAACTGTACTTTTTGTTCATTTTACACATATAAACAAAATTTGTTAAACACTAAAAAACAATTTGTCACCTTATTGCTTTTTGGTATCACTATAAGCTAATCCAAATATTTTTTACAAAACTCTAGTTTGATATCACGTAAGTTAATAAGTATTTTTTCAAAAAAAACATTAAGTTATTTTAAAAAAGCAATCCCAAACACCCCCTTAATATACATCGTATTTTAAAGATGTAAATCAAAGTGTATTATATTGAAAATGTTCACAATGTTTCATGTGTAACATAATGTATTTTTTTTTGTTTTATGAAATGTATCATAGTGTGCATTTTAGTTATTTTCATTATTTTATAAAGAGTATCATATTGTGGATCTTGTATGTATATTTGGGTATCACAATGTATATATCTTGTGTTCAGATAAGGTTCGTCGAATAAGATTTGTCGGAGAGAGGAGAGATGATATTTATAAAATTTCTAAAATGTCTTTAGTTAATAACTATTAATTTAACCATTAATTTATAGTTGAGATATGATCTTACAGTTAACACAAACAAAAACCCAATTCAACTTACTTTCTAGTATGCTAGGCCGGTATTGTAAAATTACACTAAAACTTTACATTAAATCATTGTGAAATGTGAAGGTACAACAATACATCAAACTTTCACACTATAATTATTGTGAGTGTTTTACCGTAAAGATTTAATGACTGGCCTCATGAAAACAATGTCATTCAAGTTTAAAGTTTAGAGTTTAGAGTTTAGATTTAGACGTATACCATCAATTGGGGTGGGCCCATCCAACTTTTCTCTGGCCCGTCTTATACTGGTTTTGGGCCATCTTTAATTCATCCCGATGTCGTAGTCCAATTTGTTAATGGGTATAATAAATAAAGGTTGAAATGGGTTATTTAGAAACCCAAATAGAGCAGAATCACTAAACTTAGGTTTGGGAATTGGGATGCTCCAAGTGTTTTTGAAATTGAAATTCATTTCAATTTCAATTTTATGTTATGTTATGTTTGAAGCAATCAATGGATTTAAACACGGTTATCATTTCAGATTTAAATCTCATCTATTTCAAGTTTCAAATGAAAAGTAATTACGCAAAATCTTCTTTTTTTTAATATCAAAAACTCTAAGAATTAAAAATAATAATGACATGAATTTTTCGGCTAAATTACAAAATATTACAAATATTATAATTTTTTGTTTACTTGACATTAATAAAATAAAAAAATGATGTCGTGTAAATAAAAACCTGATCTTAGTCAGCGTTTTCAGGTAAATCAGGTATCTAAATGTTTGAAGTGTCACCTCTCATATACTAAAAAAGGGTTTTGAAGAATATGAATCAAACTAAAGTATGTTAAATTTTCATGCAATTTATTCATTTACAGATTTAGGGGGTGTTTGGGATTGCTTATTTAAAACAACTTATGTTTTTTTTGTAAAAGTGTTTATTAACTTATATGGTATCAAACCGAAGGTTTGTAAAAAATGTTTGAATTAGCTTATAGCGGTACCAAAAAGTAATAAGCTGATAAGTTGTTTTTTAGTATTTGGTAAATTTTGCTTATATATGTAAAATGACCAAAAATGACAATTTTCCATATTATTGACTTATGAGAGTGCTTGGAATTGTTTATTAACTTATTTGATTTTTTTAACATGTAAAAATTTATTTTTCATCATTTATAATAATATCTTTGACAAAAATTTATATTAATAAGATTAATAATTTATATCAATAAAATTAATAATTAACAAACAGGGTTAAAATGGTAAACCGGTAATAAACAGTTTTTCATAAGTCAGGAAAGATTAACTTATCAAAAACTGTTTTTTTTAATCGTGTTTGACACCGGTATAAGCAGTTTTATTTTTCCTCATCTAAACACTAACATTTAGTTTATTATCGATGTCAAACTGAAATAAGTCCAAAAAAACACTTAAAATAAGCAATCCCAAACACCCCCCTTAGTTCCGGCAATTACGAACCTACTTCAAAAACTTTTTTTTATATTTTGAGCCTCCGCAAATAAAAGAGATGCGACTTATAAACCTAGAAATATTTTTGAAAATTGAAAAAATAAATAGCTAATAAATGAATATTTATATTAATTTCGCATCAAAACCTACACAAATTTCTGTTTTTTGTGTTGCAGATGAAGCACATTTTTTGTATTTTCAAAGCTACCAAACCCCCTGGAAGTCTACAAAACCACCGGCTACCCACATATAACATCACCATATCTCCGACCTCTCAAATGTCTTCGCCGGCGACGATTCTCTGTTTCTTCATTCTCCTCTTGATCTCCGCCGCCATCACCGTCGCCGAGAAGCCCACAGTATACGAAGTCCTGAAACAATACGATTTTCCGGCAGGTCTCCTTCCAACCGGCGTAACAGACTACACTCTCAACAACTCCACCGGAGAGTTCGAGGTTATGTTAGGTGAGACATGCAGTTTCTCAGTGGACGGCTACGATCTGAAATACAAATCGACGATCAGTGGAGTGATCAGTAAAGACAAGCTGAGAAAGTTGAAGGGGGTAAGTGTAAAACTATTGTTTATTTGGGTGGATATTGTGGAGGTTTCACGCGACGAAGATGAGCTGGATTTTTCCGTCGGAATATTATCGGCGGGATTCGATATCGAGGGTTTCGAGGAATCGCCGGAGTGCGGATGTGGGTTTGATTGCAATGGTTTAGAAATTGAAGGGGAGAAGAAGAGTGAGGTGGATGATTTGTTCACCTATTAATCTTTTACATAATCATGTATGGTATCGGTGTGGTGTTGTGTTTAGTAATAAATATCACATTTTAACTCTCACTTTTATACTTTAATTTACATTTTCTGTTTGTTAAGAGTGAGTTTTTGGCTAATCTATCAGACGACCACGAATGACTCGGAGTTCTTACACGTAATGGTCCGCTATGATCGAAATCGCATGAGGCTTAAAGCAATGCACTACAACCAAAATAGGTAATTTTATTTTGGTTGTAAGACGTTTATGTTTGTCCCTTGTTAAGGGGTGTTCGGGAGACAACTTCTACTTTTTCTATAAAAAAATTTATCAACTTGTTATAAATTAGAATAATTTAACTTCTTTAAAAAATTCTTATTACTGGTTTGGCACCGGTATAAGTTTTATATCCAAACATTCAAAAGTATTTATTACCAATATCACACCCAAATAAGTTAATAAGTTGTTTTTATAAACAATCTCAAATACCCTTTAAATGAAGGGAGGCTTGGGTTTTGGGTGCATCTTTAACAAATTTTTCCAAGATAAATAAAGTAAAAGATTTAGGATCTCTTAAAACTTTTGCTCTCTATCTTTGCAGGGATAAAGAACCCGTCGCGTTGATCTTATAGAATATTTTTAAGGGATTTTGATTTTTGCGGAAAATTTTAGAATGAAAAGGATTTGAAAGTTTTGGTGTGTTTTGTTTTTAATAACAAAAACTTAAATATTTTTAGGTATGTAATAGAAATGTAGTTTGTATAATTCTAAAATTAAAAACTATTTGATCAAATTGAAAAAAAAAAGTTGAACAATTCCAACAATTGTTTACAAACATTTAGCAAGTGGAAGGATGATTAAAAAATTTAGATTTATTTTTTGATTTGCCAAATTTAACTTGTGAAATAAAAACTAAAAACCTAATGTCTATCTTGGACAAACTTTTCTTAATTAGCGAAACATACAACATGAAAATTAAATATAACTTATATATGTATATTTTTGACGGTCGGTTTGGTTCAAATCATTCAAAAAAATGTTGAAACCGTAAACCACATTAGACCCAACGGTTTAGCTATGTTTTAAACCGGACCGTCAGACCGCTCAAACCGTTAAAACGATTCAGTTTGATTTGGTTGGAGCGATACATATAGTTTTTTGAACAATATGTGTGAAACGTCAAAGAAAAAGTGTCTTGCTAGTTTGCAAGATAATACATTCGGGTGCAAATATTTAAGAGACAATATCTGAATTATTAAAAAGTGAATCTTGTTTGGTAAAAGAGTCCGTCTCTTAACGATTCTAAAACTCTCTAAATAATTTTATATCATGGTGTCTCTTTTAACAATTGAAGGCCCTAATATCATTATAAGCAATTACCAAATAATTATATTCTATTTTACACTATATCGTAAAAGTCTCTTAATCATTCTGATTATTTAATCATTCTGCACCAAACAATTCGACAAAACGATCCAAACAGCCGCATCAATGATGATAACCTACCAAAATAATTCAAGCTTTTGTTTCGGTGAGAAACACATCAACAGAAGAATCATAAAATTTCATCATCTGAAATTAAATTTCCGGATATGAAGAAGAAATTTCTGTTTTCTTCATTTTGACATAACTAATTGGGGAAAACTCCACAATGACGTAATCAAATCAAATCAATTTAACGATTATCAAATTCATAATATAAAAATCATCATAGTTCAGATTCAGATCAATGGGAATTAGGAAGACATCAAAAACTGGTTCGAAACCATACCATTACAATCAAATCCACATCCACACTGTGGCGATTCATTAAAATTACTTACTCCGAATCCGGCTGACATGATTCCTACCGAGAAATCAATTTGATCGCCGTGACGACTCACCTCCACGATGTTCAACCACACCACCAGTATCTTGACGTTTATGCCTTTCAGATTCTTCAGCTTCCCTTTCTCTATGATACCGCTAATCGTTGACTTATATTTGAGATTGTAGCCTTGAATCTTAAATGAACACGACTCCTTCATGTAAGCCTTGAACTCTCCGGTGCTTTTGTTGAGCTCGTAGCCGGTGACGCCTTGCGGAAGAAGACCGACCGGAAAATCGTACTCCAATAGTTCATCATATGCCGTCGGTGTGTCGGTAGCAGAGGAAGAGATCAGGTGGAGGAGGAAAAATGATGAGAGAAGAAGAAAGCGAGTTGGCGGAGAAGAGGCGGTGGTAGTTCGCCGGAGAAGATCTGATCTCATCTTGGTGTCGTCAACTAATATGACTTGTAGAGTTGCATTTATCCCCCTTTTTGGATTCATTTTTATTTTTATTGTTTTTATAATATTTGGATTATCTGAAGCATGTTACTTGCAAAGATAGGATCAATGTTTGTTTGGTTGATTCAATTTTAAATAAAGATAATGATCAAATATATGGGTTGATGATTTTAATGTATTTATCCCCTTTATTTTTATTTTACATATTTATTTGTTGATTGTTTCTTACTAAAAGAGCACTCCTGCAATACAGCGAAACACATTTCGATTTTAATATTTTATTTTATTATTTGTTTTTGTCGATGTTATAATATGATAAATTTATGTGTTTTTAAGAAATCAATAATGGTGAATAAAATAAAATTTTGAAGATATCATAAAATTTTGAATTTTTTTTATCAATATTAATATTAAATCAAGTATTTAAAAATTCTCATTTTCTATATAATTTCTTTAATTTATTTTTTATTATAATTTAATTTAAGTTTAATAACGAAATAATTTATTTTTGGTTTAATAATATAATATTTTCTAAAGATAATAATTAAGTATTTTGTTAAAACTCAATAATTATCTTAATTATATTTTAGATTTTTTATATTTAAAATGAGATGTTTATCTTGTATTTGATATGTTTATCTGCAGTTAGTTACACGAATTCAGATATGAAGCTTTAATAAGTTGTACTTACGCACAATCTACTTGTAATATTGAGTTTTAAGTAATATGCATTAATAAACGGTACTTTACGCATAAAAAGTAGTTTTTAAGAGTTTTGTCAAATGCTTTATAATATAGTATAGATATCAATACCATATTATAAAGTATTTTATAGAAACCATTTTTTATTAATTAGTGGTATGTGATGTATAAAAAGTAATTTTTAAGAGTTTAAACAAAATGTTTTATAATATAAATAAAAAGGTACTCGTGTAATGCAACGAGATACACCTCAATATCATAAAATTAACTATTTAAAGGTTCCAGTTTTATAAGGCCACTAGCCATTTGTTTTATTGTCCTCTAGAATCCATGAGATTAGTTTAGATACACACAAACTAGACTAGGCACCCAGAATTAAAAATAATAATTTGTAAATTTGGTATTTCATTATTGATTATACTATTTTAGAGTCATTTAGAATGTATGGATTAGAAGCATAAAATAATAAATAAATTACAATTAGTTTTGAATTTAGTGTCTTCATTAAGATTCTCCAAGCATGATACAATAGTTTTAAAAAGCATTCCACCAGGCATTTTGGTTATTGTTTAAGCTTATACGTTCAAAGACTCATATTTTCAACTATCTACCATGTTTTTTTAAAAGATTTATGTCTTCTTTGTTTTTTTTAAAAAATTTCTTATCAACGTCTTATATTTGTTTTGTTAAAAAATATTATCCTCTTCTTATATTGGTTGGTAAGAGATAAACCAACTTCTTATTTGCTTCTTATTATTTTTCAAACTCTTGACAACGACGTTCTTAATCGATTAACCTTAATTGATCATTTCTTTCAATCGATCCTTACCAAATCGATCTTTATCTATCTCAATTGATGTACATTAATAGGATTTAAATGTGTTTAGTATTGTTAATGACATATTTGTTTTAAATGAATGCTAATTGTATAATTTAGATATAAACTTCGTAACGATGATGAATAAATATGTGAAATTGCATAAATTTATCTACAGATTCAACACTATAATTTTCTAAAAGGGAAAATAGACAATTTAAACAAATTCAAACATTTATCAGTTTATAAAAACAAACAATCTTATTGATTCAATTTCAGACTTCAACATCACATCTTTTTAACTAAAAGTGAAATAAAACTTAATACTTCAACAACTCTTAAAAAACAAATATCACCTTAATTTAATTACATTTTGGTTTTTGTTTTAGGTTTCTCGAAATAATAAGACGGTTCTTTTAAATAGGAATTTAGCAAATTTTAGTTTTATTAAAATTAGATGAGTTTAGTCAGGACTTAGGAAGGAGACACATGGTGTTAGGTGGAGCCATGGCATTTGGTTTAATTAATTTTCAAACGGTTTGGTGGTGGTGGAGGAAGGCATATTCCTTTGTCCCATTGATTCTACAGAACCTGCAATTTGCAAACCATGCATTCTTACAAACTTGTCTTGTTTCTAACAACCTATTTTCTTTTAAAAAGATTTATCACACCATTTCCAACTCAACAAATTAAGTTTGTATATAAAAATCCAAGTTGATTTTCTTACAATGAACCTCTTTCGCAGGTCCGACTTATTTTTCAACATCAATTTATATTATCTATACTATGTTATAAAGCATTTGACAAAAATTCTTAAAAACAATTTTTTATGACTGTTTATTGATTTATATTACTTAAAATTCAAGATTACAAGTAATTTTACGTAAATACAACTTATTAAAGCTCCATTCTTAAATTCGTGTAACTAACTGTAGATAAACATGATCAAATATAGGATAAACATTCATTTTAAATATAGAAAAACTAAAATATAATTAAGATAATCATTGAGTTCTAATAGAATTTTTAATTATTATATTTGTAAAAAATTATATTCTTAAACAAAAAATAAATTACTTTGTTATTAAATCTAATTTAAATTATAATAAAAACTGAATTAAATAAGTTACACCAACAAAATAAGAACTATTAAATAGCTAATTTGATACTAATATCGATTTATTTTTTTCAAAGTTTTATGCTATCTTCAAATTAATATTTCATTTAAAAATAAAAACATTATCGTTTTCTCAAAACCACATAAAATCGTATTATATCGGTAGAGACAAAGAATAAAACCTAAACATTAAAATCGAGATTTATCTTTTTGAATTGCACGAGTATTCTTCTAGTATTTATATAATAAATATCAAATATTTAATTTAAAAAACTAGCACTTCGCACCAAATTCAAGATAAAAGAAAAAACTCAAAGAATATGAGGTTCTTGTAAAACGCTACATCTTTTGCGTATAAAAAACATTTCATCAGAGATGCTCTTAGAAAATACACTTTGGAATTTAATCAAAAAGACATGCACCATGATTCAACTAACTCATACAAATGAAATCTCACAAGACCCCAAATGGGAAATGCTTGCCTGCAATTTATTTTTAATTGTGTTCATTCTGAATATCTTCACTATTTTAGAGTCTAATCTCATGTAACCCATATTGGCTATTAAAATGCTTGCCTGCAATTTAATCTTAAATCATATGCGTTCTGAATATCCTTACTAGTATAGACTATAGAGTCTCATGTAAACCATATTGGCTATTAAAGACCCCAAATGCTTGCCTGCAATTTATTCTTAATCATATTCATTCTGAATATCCTTACTATTATAGTCTCTCATGCAAACCCATATTGGCTGTTAAAGATCCCAAATGCTTGCCTGCAATCCTATCTAAATCATATTCATTCTAAATATCTTTACTATTATAGAGTCCCATCTTGTGATGAAATTCTTACTAACCCAGTCCAAACAGACCATTTGAGATATTAATCACAAATGTCTTTTTTCTTTAGTACATATTTATCATACGGTCTTATCTTGTTTGTTTAGGAAATAATTGTTTTGTACTTAATCTCAGCACCATCACTATGACCCAGGGCTTACTTGCAAAGCAGCAAATTTAGTTTTAACAAAAATTTCATAACTTCTGTTACTTCATCATCATCAATAATAATAATAATAATAATAATAATAATAATAATAATAGTAATAAAAGTTCCTCCATCTAACAACGGACAGATGGGTCTTTCACTTTATTTACAATCTCACCTTCACCGCAAAATTAACAGACCACAAGTTCTGAATCATGCCATACCAACATCACTTTTAGACATTTCATTACCTTCTTATAAGTTGTACACCTGAGTAAGTTCATAAACATCCAACAGCTGCATGCAGGCCTATTCAGTAACCCAAGAAACTCGTCAATGGTGGTTTTGCAAGCAAGTCATCATCTCTTCAAGAGTGAAAAACATGAAATAGCTTGCATATGCTAAAAACCCGCAGTACATGGGTGGACCTATGCACGTGCCACCACTTCATTGTCCCAACATAGTTGGAAAAAATTACCACTTTAATAGGAGCCACCTTATTGGTTAGATATGTGCCACCATTTTTGGTTAAATAAAACACAAGAAAGGTGCAGAGCATTTGTAAGAACGTTTTCAGAGGAAGAGAAGGACTCGGGTTCAAGTCTTGGTGAGTAAATTTTGTAATGTTTTCTTAACTAGAATATGTGCTTCTCCAATCAATCCATAGCCCATCAATGAGATAGCCAACCCAACCTGGTTTTCATTGGTTTCTTGTGCTTTATGTTGTAACTGTAGTTAATTTTTATTTAAATAATTTGTTTCTATTTAATTTCAAATAACTATAATTATTTTGTGCCACCACTACAAAAAAATTATTGGTTCGCATCTGTTCAGGGATAAGTGATTGGAAGATAGTGAGAACGGAAGTTATGGTGAGAGAGGATCTCCAACTTTGGATCAATCCTAATTGAAGATGATGCACCGGGTCGATTCCCATGAGAAGCGCAATTCATGGGGTGGGGGTGTGATTAAAAGTGATAAAGGGTCCAAATCCTTTCTTAAGCTTCTCACTTTAACTCTTATTCTCACACGATCCTTCCTTTGGAAGATAGTTCATCTTCATTTGAGGAAACTAAGGTTTAGACGATCCACCTTCGGTGACATTCATCAAATATTTGTTTCTGGACACCCTTATTCAGGTTCTCACCAAGTGTAAATGGTTGCTAGTTCCAGATAGCAGTGTTTGCCAGCATTTAAAGCAATATTATTGAGAAATATGCACAAAGACTTCCATCAAAAGTTGTGTGACATATATGGGGAGAGCAAAACAAGAGGCTCAGCAGGGTCAAGCAGCATTTAGGATGCTAGTTACATGAAAAAAAGTAGTTATAAATGTTTGGGATCATGATTGCGATACTCTGCCTGAGGCATTGGCTCCAATTGTGGTGCTTAGCGGTTGTAATCATTTCCTCCATGTATAGTGGGTGCTTTCTTCCAGTCAGTTTTACATGTTCCATTAGTAGTTCCTCCTGTTGGGAGTTTTTTTGACATGTCACCGTCCGTAATGAAGTAGTCTTTTGTGTTCCTTCTTGGGGGCATGCCCCTGCATCTTGTATATTATCTTCTTTATCTATATTCTATGGTTTTATCCCCAAAAACAGTTATATATAATACCAACCAAGGGACTTGGACAAAGAATAGGCCTACTGCTAGCTTTTAATTTTCCTAGACTTGAAAGGCAGGTGACTTCAAGTACCTATTTCATTACTTCCATCAATCTGTAGATCCAAAACAAGAAGTAACAGGCGAAGGAGTACAACCATAAGCCAAGTTTTTCAAAAATGTTACCAAATTACGTTACATCTATTATTTAGTATGTTGTAATCTTTATCCAACTCAAACTTGGCCTTAAAAAGTAGCTAATTCGAGTCTTAAATGCAAAGTAAGGAAATACAGAAATATTATATAATCCCACTACCATGATGGCCCAACACTGGTGGTGCCCATCAAAACTATTAAAGTTATCCCCTTATACAACCATTTAATCCTTTCTAAGCATATGATAGCATTGAATACAGAATGAGACTCGTGTATCAAAATAATATGTTAGCTACCAAAAGATTCAAAACACTAGGAAGAAGAGCTAAAATACCAACAAACCACAGATATAAAATAGTAATATGATCAATATATATTTGAAATGAGACAAAGAAAAAGATACCTGGGAATCTAGAAGCATGTAAAATCTTGATGGTTTCAGTTGACATCCTTAAGCCTCTTAATTAACGAGTCTAACGACTTCTTCTTTGGATTTTGCTTGTACCCTCTTGATCCAAAAGTTCCAAATAGTCGCTCAGAAGGATCCTTTAGTTTCTCGGAAATGATTGCTACTTTTTTGTAATCCAACGCATTGTAACTTCTCTCTCTGATTACTGGATTTAAAAAGTTCTCTGGGTTATTGCTAAGCAGCAAGTTAACTAATTGCCTTGCCTCAACAAGTGCTTTCTTTAACTGAATAGCCTCTTCTTCAGATACAAGAGGAGCTTGGTTTTCAGCAAATGATTCCAACAATTTGATATCTACATCGATTCCCATCACAGCATTCAGACTGAACCTTTTCACAGATTCCCCAACTAAAAAGTTAACGATTGTTTCCGAGATATGAGAGAGAACATCTTGTAACACTCGTTTGAGGACCTGACCAGGCAATATCTGCTGTGCAGTAGAAAGAAGCGTTTCCAGAAAGATTATCACCTCATTCACATATTCATTTTCAGTCTGAGGTGGCTCGTCAATCATCCAATTCACGTTCTCAATCAACGTCATAAAACCATCAACCTTCTTTTTAAGCAAGCTACTTAGCATTTCTTCAGCTGCATCACGTGCTTTGGTCAACGGAAACTGCCGCCTGCCCCTTTCTACCACCCTCAGAGGGACTCCAGAAAGCTTTGCAGCATGGCGAAAGAAAAAATCACAGGCTCTTTCGAGGACAGCCATATTAGCTGCAACAACCATTGCTTGATTGACCCCACTGATTGAAGTGCTAATAAGCTTTAGAAGACCATCATCCAGGACTTCAGTCAAAAGCCGGTCCAAGTACTTCTTCACAACATCAAAGAAATCAAGCTGCCCACCATGAGACATGAAACTAACAGAATCCTCAATGAAAGACCTAACAATCCGACAACAATCAGGCACAGTTGATGAAAATGGGGCTATATAGGGAAATGCCGGTACAATGTCTGAAGTTTGTATCTGGAAAGATAACACGTTCATGGAATACTCATACTCCTTATTCATCCACATCTGCTCAAACTTATCTGCAGCAAGAGCTTCAGCAATTTGTTTCTGACAATCTGACAACAATAACTCATGGTACTTATCCCTGTGCTTGTTCAACACATCAAGCAATGCATCTACTGAGTATCCGTATCTCCGCAGAGTAACCCCAAGCAAACTCACATAATCCTTAATCAACAGCAAATGATTAGCTGTTCGCATCCTAGAGAATTGGTCTTCTAACACAGAACACATTTTGCTAACAGCAGTATCCCATAGGTTTTCTACTTCCATTTTCGTTATCAATCCACCCCCAGTCCTTAATACACGGTCTTCAACTATGAAAAATCCGGCGATCTGAGCGAAAAATGTCTGATGAGATTCTAAAAAAGGTGTCATTGAAGATACCTGAAAATCCGAGGTTAATTGAAGCTTCCTATTCTCGAAATAATATTTTTTGAACCCATCCTCAAGCCCAAGAGTCTGATGTATATGGTAAGATCTATACAATGGAGTCAGATCAAAACCTAGAGTAGAATTAGCATTGCCGCCATTACCGTAAAAATCGTTACCTTCATTTCCTGTAAAGTAACCGTCGTCATCTTCTTCTTCAAGAGCATAAACAGCGTCCCTCAAGCTGAGCCGACTCTGTTCCTCGGCTTGCCGTTGCCTGATCCGTAGTTCTTCTTCCCTCTGTCTACCGGCCGAAGCTTGTCCGATCGCGACTTGCCCCAAGTTCCGACTCACCGTACGGATCTCGACAAGCCAGTCTCCAAACTCTTTACTGATTCTACGTTCGATATGAGCTCGGATCGCAGGGATTTTCTTCTCGAGCATTCTCCGGAGAGTAGACGACGACGTTTTGTGTATAAAGTCTCTTTCAATCGAGTCAATGCACTTCAACGCCATGTAAAAGTTATTCTTCGATAGATGAAAATTCACCCGCGAGCAAAGCTCCATTAATCGGACACAAATCCGAAGAGACTCGATCGCCAGGGTTATGTTTTGGCACTTGTTTCGAGCTTCAATGAAGGAATCTAGAGATGTCAACAAAGGACCTGCTACAGACTGTAACTGATAGTTTGAATTAGAAATGGATGATTTAAGCGATTCGACGCCGGAAAGTAGAGAACGGAGGTCATCGACGGCCATGATGAAGTCCTGATAATGAACCTTACAGACTTCTTCGATCTCAGACTCTTTGGATCTACCGAAGTGACGAAGGTGGTGAAGTAGGGTTTCGGGCTTACCCGATGCAAAGGCTTTGCGGATGAAAGGGGATAAGTCTTCCCCGTTGCAGATGGCGGAGGAGAGGAGGAGTTGGTCGAGCTTGTCTCCGGTGTCTCCGTTCTCCGCCGTAGCGACGACGACTTTCCGGCGCATTTTGGAGGAATTCATCGACTTTTTGGTTGCGGTTTCTTTTCTCCGACAACGGAGTTGCCGTCAGGGATTGATTCACGCAGAAGTTAGGAGATAGACAGATGGGAAATCTGGTAGCCGGTAATAGGTGGTTCGATACGGAAAAAGGAACGATGTCGTATCATTGTTCGGTTGGTCATCTTGGAATTTTCATTAACCGAGTTAATGAGTTATCACCAAAATTCTTTTTTATTTTGAAAAAAAAAAACAAAATTTAATCAAATTTTATATTCAAACAAATATGTGTTAATAATATTTAAATCAATTTAAATTCTATAACATTTTACATTTTTATATATTATTTAATTTATAATATGAACTGTGATATAAAAAATATCATAAAAACGGCTCTTTTATTCAACAAAGACCATGACAAAGCTTGTGGCATTGGTCAATGGCTATATAATACTCCTAAAGTCCACGGCAAAACAAATAACGATTAAGTCATCGATGTTTTCTGATCGATCATCTCTAAATTCTGATTTGATTCTTGATATTTCATTATTATTATATCATTGGTTTTTCAATTATACAAAATACTTCATAGGATGAATTGGTGTTGCAATCCCGAGGAGGGTAGGGTACTCGTTCGTTGCCGTTGGATTTCTTCCTTCTTCGTGTTGGGTTCCTTTTCTTTTTTGGTTTTCTGCGTCTTATAGATAGAATTTCTATCCTCCGAGTTCTTATAGTTTCGTTTTCTCTTTCTAATAAAATTGTTGCTTTAAAAAAAAGCGTTGTTGTTAAATAAAATTAAAATATTATTTCAATAGCTCGTCATAATTAAAGTAATCATTACAAAACGTGTATTTACACTTGTGGATTATCATTGTTCTTTTGATGTATGTAAGAAATATGATTATTTGTTTTAGCTATCTAATTTTTTTAATGGCAGAGTAGTTTATTTTGGGGATTTGTTTTTGATATTAAAGTAATGAGATTAATCATTAAGAGAAAATTAAAACACATGTTTACATGCTTATTTAACGTAATTTCAAGGCTTTATTCTCGTGCCAGAATGTGACGCTTTTTCTCGCTACACATCATCTTTTTTTTTTTTTTTTTGTAACTCTGTAAATAAAGTATTAAATAATTAGAATTTGTCAAACACTTTGATTGTTGGTGTAATGTCATAACCTACTTTCCTAAGTCATATATTTACTTGTCATCAAGAAAATGTATCCAAATCATATACATCTTACAACCAAGCGAGCAACTGACTTCAACAAGCAGACAAACTCTAAACAGCCTGAAATATATACAATCCAAAACAATTGACAACTGGAGTTTATTTTACATGACATGCAAAAATTCTAATAAAAATAATGATCATCCTAAATGTCCATGGGTGGGGTACATCCTGAGTTCACGAGACAACAGTGAAATATTCAAGTCCAGTTTATTAAGATTGAGATGTACATGTGTATTTGTGTCATACTAGAAGCGTATTTGCGCAATACAGCGAGATACATCGAAATTTTAATATTTCATTTTATTCTTTATCTCAATCGATATTATAATATGGCTTTATGTGATTTTGAGAAAGCGATAATGTTTTTATTTTTGAATAAAATAAATGTTTGAAGATATCATAAAATTTTGACAAAAATATATCAATATTAGTATCAAATTAACTATTTGAAATTCCTCATTTTTTTGTAATTTTTTTATTCAATTTTTGTTACAATTTAATTTATGTCAAATAACAAAGTAATTTATATTTGGTGTAATAATATATTTTTTTATAAAGATAATACTTATTTATTTTGTTGGAACTCGATAATTATTCTAATCATATTTTAGATTTTTTATATTTTAAAATGAGATGTTCATCATCTATTTGATTATGTTTATCCGTAGTTATTTATACGAATTCAAACATCGCGCTTTAATAAGTTGTACTTATGCATAATTACTTAAGTAATATGTATCAATATACAGTACTTTATGCATAAAAAATATATCGATATTCGTATCAAATTAACTATTTAAAATTACTCATTTTTTGTGTAACTTTTTAATTCAAATTTTTATTATAATTTAATTTAAGTATAATAACAAAGTAATTTATATTTGGTTTAATAATATAATTTTCTTATAAAGTTAAT